GAAGTCGCCTTCCTGACAAATCGACCAAGGTGAGATTCGAACCCAGGTCTCATGATCAGAATGCGAACGTTCTAATCACTCTGATTCTCTCGTAATACACAGGGAAAAAACGAACCTAACTTTGATTTTACAAATGGCACTTTAATTAAAAATTAACATAATTCTTTACGTTGAAAATACTTCAAGGGATTACTATTAACTATATTACCTGTTAATACACATCAAAAACATTATATTGCATCATCATACTTTATTGAATTCATTATTAAAGAACCTAACATATGTTTATCTAAATCAAACGATATGTAGGTAAAAAAAAAACATTCCTAAATCAACATGAAACAAACAACCAAAAACAATGTCTACACCACATACACACTTTCGGATATACATTATAATCTAATTCCCACATATTTAAACTAGAGTTAATATACACTTACATACACACAGCAATATTTAGAGATTTTCAGATAGGCTTGGAATCTGTTAATTTCCTGGAATTTTGAAGGGACGCTTCGCCTCTCATAGAATTAGATAATCCACAAATTACACTAACGTTTATTTAACGTCGAATTACCGTGTGTTACAGAGGAATAAAGTGTCGCTGTCGACACTGGATTTTGAACATAGATCGCCAGTGAGCAAACACAGGCGATCCCATTATTGAATTCAGAGGATCACGTGACCATGGGAGAAAAGCATAAGTAGGTGACGTCTAAACTCTCTCCATTTATATTTCGACTCTGAGGTACTCCAGGTGGTGTAATGGTTAGCAAGTTTGTCTTGCTAGAACAGTTACGACTGAGTATTGAGTTCGTTCCTCACTGGGTGCCCCGTACTTTCGGCCTTGAGCCACATCTAAGCTACGCTGGGAAAATAACTATATTTCTACTCTGATGTCGGTTAGGTACAGGATTTTGTCCTTCCTGGGTTGAACAGAGGCAACCCGCCCCGATATTAGGCTAGTTTAGGTTTTTTAGTTTGGATCTTTAGTTTCCCGTTTCTGATTAACTTAGCTAGGGTATGCATGCTCATTGGCCCCTTTTATTTCTGTCCCTATTTTTCTTTTGTTTAAACCCCCATCTCCTCCCTCGTTAGGTGGTCAGTGATGTCATTTCTCTGGTTGTTGCGGGATGACTTTCGTTTCGTGTGTGTGTTTTCGTATTTGCTATTGTGTCTAAATGAGTGCGTGTTTGTGGGTGTGCTTGGTTTTTTTATAATGTTATAATCCCGCAATTATTTCGACCAGTTAACTGATGTTTCTGCCACATTTAGGGATTGTGTTTTTTTTTATTACTAACCCTATTTTGTTTTGTTTTATGTAAATAGTATTAATTCATATTGTAAATAATCATTGGGGTTTTTTAAATTGTTGCTTTTCCCCCTCCCCACCACAGTCTTTGAAATGTACATATGGGGACTAGTTAGGATTTCAGAGAGAATTTGAGGTATTATGGTGGACGTAGTAAGAAAGTTAGGAGTGAATCTGTTGTTTTGGTGATAGGAATATTGTTGGTATGTTTGGGTCCGTGTCTGTGACTAGCTAAGTTTAGAATTAAGACAGAAGAAGACTGTCCTTCCCCAACCCCCTGTTTTTGGCCTTGTGCCAGATTTGGATATAAGTACTAATAAATAACTATATTTCTACTCTATCTGTTATTACTATACGGATCGCTAGTTCTCTTCTCTACACTGTTCTCTATACGGTGGTTACAATTCGAGCGAGTATAATCGAACAAGTACTATTAGAGCGAGTGATATTCGAAGGCGTCTAACACCAGAGTTGTTCAACGGCGTTACTATAGTTGTATCGGCGATTACAATGTCTCTATTAAAACGAGCAATACAAAAGTGACAACAAGTGTTAGTTGACATTACAAAAGTGTCAAGGAGTGTCGTTGACATCATAAAAAACGTGAAACATGTTAGACTGATAAACGTTTGCTATTTGTCTCTTATCCTATATATATATATATGTGTGTGTGTGTGTGTGTGTGTGTGTGTGTGTGTGTGTGTGTGTGTGTATAATTAAAAATAAAGCTATAATACCTCAAATTTTTATGGAAACTTCCAATGCATTTTTCACAAATGATGAAATAATTGATTTGAAAAAATGTGCAGTGATGTCCACAACATAATTTTTATTTTAATGTCTAACAAAAAACAAAAAACAATATTTAACGTCGGACAAAATTATTGTCCCTTTTTCTCCAATAATCAGTTGTGTAAGTATTATTCTTAATTATTGCCTTTAATCGATTTTGATAGTTCCTAAGAAGATCAAGGAGGCACGGTGGAGTAATGGATAGCGGCTTGTATTGAGGTATCGGAGAGCCGAGTTCGAATTCCAGTCGAATCCATTACATTCACTTTCGTGCTAACACCCTTGGGAAAGATGTGAATCATCTTTCTTCTCCCTCAACCTATGGGTAAATAGCAGGACAGACTGGGTTCTATAGCCTTGGATGGCAACTGGTCTAGGAGAAGGAAAACTCTGAATTCAAACCTGCTCTTAGAGGAGGGAGAATGGAGTCTCTCTGAGCCTTGGTTGGCAATCAATTTAGTGTTGGTGTCACGATAAAAACACCCTTGATAGCCCTAGCGAAGCATCAAGAATTCAGCTACTTGACAAGATTATGAACTACACCAATCAAAGTATTGGTGAGTTCAATCTCGGCTGAGGCCGCAAGATGATGAACAAGATCATTTCACACACTAATAGATATTTGATCCCATTCTTCCTTGCCAAGAACTTCAAAATCCTCCAAATGTTTTCTTCAAATATGCCCATAAAATTTCAATGAGATTTAGGCCAGAACTTTGTGTGGGGTACGCCAATAACTTACTTTTGATGACATCGAAGTATTTAAAAAAAAATTGCCGTGTGTTTCAGGTTATTGACATGATGGAATATCCAGCGACGCCCCAAAAGCAGATTTCGCTCACTTTGTTTTATATTATTTTTTTAGAATAGCCAAATACAGCTCTTTATCCATGATACCCTGTACTCTCAGTAGTTCTTGAAGCAACAAAATCTCCTCAATACAGAATGCTCCCACCATCATGCTTTATTGTAGAGGGTTATTTTATTGTAGGGGGATAATTTTTGGTATGTATTCACTTTCCTCCATACAGGAGTTCATGTGACCAAATAATTCTAGTTTGGTTTCATCTGACCATAAAATTGCATCCCAGCATTCACTCCTATGTTCAAGATGGTTTCTAGCTAAGCTAATCTACATTTTAGGTGTTTAGCCTTTAGCAAGGGAATTTTCCTTGGTCGAAAAGTACGAAGTCTTGCTCTATGAAAGCATCTAGTGACTGTTTTCATGTTTCACATAATGTCATTTGTCGTTAAGCGAGGATTCTTCGAGACATCTCTGACAATTTTCCCTTTCCATTTCTTTTCTGTCAGAAATTAAGCATTTTCTGCCAGTCCTTAATTTATTCACTACAGAATGAGTCATGTTGTACTTCTTGATAATGCTACGAATTGTCGATCTAGGAACTTTCAAACGCTTGCAAAGTGCTTTATATTCATCAACTTGTTTTTTTCACATCAACTATCTTCATCCGGAGTTACTTGTCTAGGTGAGCCATCTGTGTTATCGCCGGCCGTGGAACTCATATACTGTCTTCTTCATAGCATTTTAGAATGTTATAGAAACGGGTCAATAATATATATATATATATATATATATATATATATATATATATATTATAAATTAATTGATTTAAAATATGTTTTTTTCGCTACAGTTCTAACCATGTTTCAAAAATGGAAGGTAAAAGCTCCGAATTTAATTTTGTAATTAAATTAAAGACATTAGTTCCATTTCATCCTCAAGCGAATATATATATATATATATATATATATATATATATATATATATATATATAAAAAGAAAGAACAGTAAGATATATAATCCGGTGTTCTTATAGGTATTTTTATTTTTACAAAATAGTGCTCGATGTTAATTTACAGAGCATTAATATTATAAATTAATTGATTTAAAATATGTTTTTTCCGCTACACAGTTCTAACCATGTTTCAAAAATGGAAGCTAAAAGCCACGAATTTAATTTTACAATTAAATTAAAGACATTAGTTCCATTTCATCCTCAAGCGAATTTTGGAGTAACTTTTAAAACCCATAAAACATGGTTAGAACTGTGTAGCGGAAAAACCATATGTTAAAAAAATTTATAATTATAATCCATTATATTATATATATATATATATATATATATATATATTATATATAAAGTTGAATCCATTATATTTTCTTGGGAAAGGTTTTTCTTGTTTTCCCTCCAGCTATGCGCAAACGGCAGTACAGACTGGGTTCTATAGCCTTGGATGGCAACTGGTCTAGCAGAAAGACAATTCTGAATTGAAAACCTGCAGAGGATCATTTGGGCACCCTGTGACACATAGTGCACCAGGTCTTTGTATTCGGCCCTTCAAAAAGTGTGGAGGGTCCTGCACAAAACATTCACCACTATAATCAAATTTCACGTGCTGTTGTCGGGCTGTCGGCTTCCTAGGAACTGATCTGCTTGACCCTCATATGTCGAATTCGACGGGATATATATATATATATATATATATATATATATATATATATATATATATATATATATTCATGAAGGCATCCATCTATCTCACTATGTTCTTATCTATCCATCCATTCATCTATCTATCTATCTATCTATCTATCTATCTATCTATCTATCTATCTATCTATCTATCTGTTTGTCTAAATGTCTGCCTGTTATATACGGTACCTATGAACACTAATGGGTATGCCCCAATCCTCATAAATACGTTGGACACTATTGTAAGTGGGGGTAATATGGTGTCTAAGTAGTCCACCACTAGCAGTGGTTTACCTACTTCACGGCGCTGGCGAGTATTGTATTTTGTTGATGTTATAAAGATTACTATTTCATTTCTAACGTCCGTTTTGGTCATTCCTCATTCAGTAAACTTTCTTAGGCTACAACAGATAGTAAGAAGAAGGAAGAAAGAAAAAAATGAAAGAATGAAAACAGAAGAAAAATGAAGAAAGGAAAATAGAAGAACAATGAATGAAAAAAAGACATGAGAAAAAAGAGGAGAATGAGATGTATAAAAAAAATTCTTTGTCGAGTATGAAGAAAATGAAAAACACTGAAAGAGAAGGAGGGAAATGAGCGAAAATGGATATGAAGAAAATAAAATAAAAATAAAGATGGGTGGAAAGGAAAAGAAATGTGACAGATACAACAAGAAAAATATATGAATTAAGGACGCGTAAGAATAAGAAAATAAAGAAGAAGTTGAAGAAAAAGAGTCGAATGAAAACATGAAGATTATTAAGAAAAAAAAAAGACTAAAAAGACTGATAAAACAAGACGAAACGAAAAGAAGAAAGAGAAGGCTGAAAGAAAAAAAATGAAAGAAAAGGAAATAAAAAGAAGAAGAAGGAATAAGAAATAAATACATTAGGCAGAAGAGAGAAAGAAAGAAAGAAGAGGAGAAAAAGGAAATAAAAAGAGGAAAAAAAGAAATGAATACAATAGGCAGATGTAAGGTAAGAATGAGAAAAACAAAGAAGAAATCGAAGAAAAAGAATGAAAGTGTGAAGAATATTAAGAAAAAAGGGAAATAAAGAAAAATTGATAAAACGAGACGAAATGAAAAGAACAGAAAAATGAAAGAAAGAAGAATGACAGAGGTGAAGAGAAAGAAATAAAAAAAAATAAAAGGAAGGAAGAAGAAAGAAAGAAAGAAAGAGAGAAGGAGAGAGAGAGAACGAAAGAGAGAAAACGAAAGAGAGAGAAAGAAAGAACGAAAGAAAGAGAGAAGGAGAGAGAGAAAACGAAAGAGAAAGAAAGAAAGAAAGAAAGAAAGAAAGAACGAACGAACGAACGAACGAACGAAAGAAAGAGAGAAGGAGAGGGAGAACGAAAGAGAGAAAACGAAAGCGAGAGAAAGAAAGGACGAAAGACAGTAGGAGAGAGAGAACGAAAGGGAGAAGTGGAGAGAGAAAGAAAGGGAGAAAACGAAAGAGAGAGAAAGAAAAAAGAAAGAAAAAAAAGAGAGAGAAAAAAAGAAAGAGAGAGAAAGAAGGAGAGATAGAAAAAAGAAGAGAGAGAAACACAAATAAAGAAAGAAAGAAAGAAAAAAAGAGAAAGAGAGATATAAAAAGAAGAGAGGAAAGAAAGAGAGAGAAACAGAAAGAAATAAAGAAAGAAAGAAAGAGAGAGAGAAAGAGGGAAAGACAGAAAGAATGAAAGAAAGAAAGAAAGAAAGAAGGAGAAAGAAAGAAAGAAAGAGAAAGAGAGATATAAAAAAGAAGAGAGAGAAAGAAAGAGAGAGAAACACAAAGAAATAAATAAAGAAAGAAAGAAAGAAAGAAAGAGAGAGAGAAAGAGGGAAAGACAGAAAGAAAGAAAGCAAGAAAGAAAGAAAAAGGGGAAAGAAGAAAATGAAAGAGAAAAAGAAAAAGAAGGAAGGAAAAACAATAGGCATACGAAAGATAAAATAAAGAAACAAAGACAAAGAAACAGAATGCGAATAATGATGGTAAAAGAAGGAGTAAATATATAAGAAAAAGAAAGCAAGAAAGAATGAAAGAAGGAGAATAGAAAAATATAAAAAAGAAAGAAAGAAAAAAATAAAAAATAAAAAATAAAACAGAATAAAAAAAATAAAAAGGATACAAGTAAAACACTTGATGAAAAAAAAAACAGTGAAAGAAATTAAGAAGAAAAAAAAGAATAGCAACTGAGAATCAATAAATAAAAGAAGAAATAAAGAAACGAGGAAAGAAACAAAATTCGACGCGAGAAAGAATGAAATAAAATGTGAACGAAGAAAGAGAAAACATAGCAATGACAAAGAATGGAGAAAAAAAAGCGAAGATGAAAATGAGAAACAAGAAAGAAACTGAAAAAGAGCAGATACCAGACAGGAAAGAAAATAAAAGAATGAAAGACAACAATGAAAAACAAAAAAAAAAGAACGAAAGAAAGCAATGGATATTTTCGTTGAACATTAAAATCATCAATTATTTACAAACAAGATTCATTATCACGGAAGCAACCAAAGCTTTTTAGCGTAGCTTTATTGTTTTTATTAAAATGTCTTTTCTTCGAATTCTGTTACCAGCTTTTGTGTCATTTATATATTAGATGAGATTTGGAGCAATTAAAATTTTATCTCTCTACCCTTTAAGCAGAGAAAAACGCCATCATATTAGATTCTAATATTGGACTGACTTTTCTTTGCTTTCTTTATTTACGCTGTTTTTTTTTTATTTTATTTTGTTCCCAGTACAACTTATTTTGTGCATTCCATATTCTTTTGTTGTCTTACAAAAACGAACATTAAAAATAAAAGACAAACTGACAATGCAAAGTTAAGGTAATTTGCATAGATAGTTCTTTGGTACTGTCAGTGACTATAGACTGCCAATAGCAGAATTGTCGACAACGTGCAAGAGTTTGGCTTCTTCTTCTTTTATTTTTTTTCGAGTTCTTCATCGTTTCGAAGACAATAGGACATTCAAGGCTGTTTAAGATGTTTTTAAGAACGCTTGTCTTCTCTTGCTAGGTATCAATAAATTATAGAAGAAACTCCCAGTGTCTCTTTCTTGTCGTATATATATATATATATATATATATATATATATATATGACGCTTTATAGGTTGATTACCTCCACTAATTTAGATCTATTACTCTCACTAGTTGAATTGTTAGCTCCGTTCTTTGTCATCGTTCTGCGTATGAAAGGATACTGTAAAGTTCCCAACCAAACCAACTTCCATATCTATATCAGCAGTTCTTTATCTCTCTCTCCCTTTCCTTCTCCCTCACCCTTTCTATCTATCTATCTATCTATCTATCTATCTATCTATCTATGACTATTCGCACATCTCTCTATGTTTACTTAGCTACTTATCTCATAATGTCCATTATCTATCTATCTATCTATCTATCTATCTATCTATCTTAGTCTATTCATATCTATCTATCTATCTATCTATCTATCTATCTTAGTCTATTCATATCTATCTATCTATCTATCAGAGTGTTGACTTCAGTGTTCACTTTTATATTTATAATTACATACGCTCTATCTCTGATATTGAACAATTTATGCCATAAATATAACACACTTTAAAACTATATCCCTTTATATATATATATATATATATATATATATATATATATATATTGATGCATGTTTCATTAAATAATATAGACAAGTTTTGTCTATTTATTTTAAGTAAGTTCCTTTCATATTGTCTGATAAGCTTAATCACATTATCATTAAAAGACGAAAGGAAAACACCATATTGATACATGTTTAAATCCAATCTAAGCTTTCGGCTTACATAAGCCATTATCAAAGATGACAATTTCAATATATCAAACAACACACGGACGAAACTACAATGATAGTTCGACCTTTCAAATTCGAAAATTTCAAAGCAACGACCAACTCCTGTATACGAGACGCGAAAGCGAAAATCGCGTCGCAGCTCGTGACGTCACTCATGACCACGCGAGAGTGAAAACGAAAAGTATTAAGTATGGGAAGCCGTTGGTATAAACCGGGATTTATTTTGTAAAAAATACAAAATTGTGGCACAAGGCCGAAAAGGGGGAGGGGGTAAGGCTGGTCTTCACTAACTATCTTATACCTAGCTAATTTGATTCACGACCCATTCAGACATTACAATTTACTCATTCACCATAAGAACTCGTCCGTCATCAATCAATCCTCCTTGCACCATAATACCACATCCACTCTAGGGAGACCTACAAAACGCCCCCATGTCATAATGATCCTAACACATATGTACAAAAATTCTAAGATGAAAAAATGAGATGGGGGTGGGATGTGAACCCAATAACAAACTAAAATATTAACATAAATGAAAATAAAACGTTAACTGATGTTAGTAGGGCCCTTCCAACCCTCAAAATGCAGGGGAGACCACTGTATTCTGCCCATTGGAACAAAAATCAAGCAGCTCTCTCGCTAAGGGAGTGGGAAAGGTGATAAAAAATCATACGGGCATGGGGAAGTATAAAGCTGACCCAGTCGAGATAGAAAGTGGGGATCAAAAAACAAACTGGGGAGGTTGGGAATCTCAGGCTGGATCATAACTAAAGATGTGGCCGGGGGCAGGCCGGGAACAACACTTACTGCATTAACTAGGTACACCAAGGCTTGTCTAACCTAACCAAGGGGAGGGCACTACAGGAAGCCACCCCGATGTAACGTAGGCTTGACCTAAAACAGAAAATCAAGGCTAGCCCCGTTCACACGAACCAAGCTCCCTCAGTCACCCACCTTTCGCTGAAAACTGTCGAATGCAAGCGTTTTCTATCAGTTCTAATCTTCGTCTTGAGCTGATGCTCAAAGAATCGGATCAGATCCTGATGAGAAAGACGGTTACCCCGCAAGACTTCCTCCTCTCGCGCGTCGTCCATATCACCATTCGGGCCGTGGCTAGCAGCATGAGAAACACCATCCGTTTCACACCGGAATACAGGGGCGACACATTGTCACACGCGTATGCGCGATCCATGGGCACAAGCTTTTCGGGCGAGACGAGCCGTCAGCTCGCCGACATGGTCCCATAAGGGGCGGACACGGGGGCAATGGAAGAAGGCGTGCGAAGCCGTTTCCTCTAGACCAAGGCCACACCGATCGCAGTCTGGCAAGTCCGCCAAGCCCCATATGAAGACCATGTCGTTGAGAGGCAGCCGATTCCGAGCCAGTCGCCAGGTAAGCGAAAACTCAGGGTTACTGAGGTAATCCGCCGCTGGCGCCCAAGACCAGTGAGAGCGAAACTCATCGTCCGACATGTCGAGATCCTCACGTAGGGGATCCTTCGCGACCCCCTCCGCGAAAAAAAACCGATTGAACCCGGGGTTTACGACGGCGATCCACCCGCGAGCTTGGGGGACTGATGGTAAGGCGAGGGAAGGCGGCCCTCATAATCCCCTCAATAATCGGATCTCCACCTGTCAAAGCGCGGCGTAGGAAAGCCAACCTCGAGGCACGTTTGTGGCTCAGCAAGTGTGGCATTCCCAGCCCCCATGACACGGACGTTGTGCACAGACTTCTCTGTCGACCCGATTCGCGCGTCTCCTCCATAGAATGGAGGTTAGCGCGCGCTCGAGCGGTGTCCTGTGGTCGTCACAGAGAGGAAGTACGGACAATCGATAAAGGACAAGAGGGAAAATGTATGTAGCACACACCTCCGCCCTGCCCTTCACGGACAACCTCCGTCGACGCCAAGTCTGACCGGCGGCGTAGACCTTTGCTCGTACTTCAGACCAATTCTTCTCCAGCTGGAGGTCGGGTCCAAACCACACTCCGAGAATGCGGACAGGACCGTCCGTCCAACCGAAGGGCCCTGGAAGATCGACCCCTTCCAGGCGCCTAGCCGCAAGCCGGACGACTTGTCGCGGTTAATCTTGGCCCCTGTCACCTTTTCGTACCGATCAAGCGCCTTCTGTACTGCCCTGATGCCTCTGCGGTACGACACGAAAGCAGTTACGTCATCGGCGTACGCGGAAACCCTGGCTCGAGCCCCGCCAGGAACGGCGATTCCGCATAGGGCCGGCCTGCACGCCCCGTCCCTCAGCCGGCGAAGGAGAGGCTCCAACGCCAAAGCGTAAAGTAGGGGCGACAGCGGGCAACCCTGACGAACCGACCTAGACAGCGCAAAAGCGCCTGACAGCTTTCCGTTCACCTGTACCACAGCACTGGGGGAGCGATACGGGAGGCTAATCCAGCGGCAGAAGTCGGGTGCGAATCCGGCGGCCTGCAGGACAGTAGCCAGGTAGCGATGGTCAACTCTATCAAATGCCTTGGACTGATCCAAATTGATCAGCGCGGCACACTCGTCGTCTTTTACACCCTCTATGATCGTGCGGATCAAATGCAGGTTGCTCTGAATTGTTCGACCCCTCACAGAACAGGTCTGCTCGGGACCCAACAGAGACTCGGCAACTGACTGCAAGCACTCCTGCAGGATCTTGGCCATGATCTTTAACTCTGTGTTTAGCAGAGTTATGGGCCTGTAGTCGTCTAGTTTCCCCCAACACCCTTGCCCTTTTTCAACAGCGTGATCACACCCCTGGAGAACCGGTCGGGGAGAGACCCCGCCGGAACCAGTTGTTGAAGACGACCGTCAAAATCGGGACAAAGATGCGACAGCCTCAAGTACACTTCATAGGGCAGACCATCCAGACCGGGCGACTTGCCTCTGCCGACCTTCTTCAAAGCCGCGTAGACCTCGCCCTCGGTAACCTCTCCCCTCGCAGCTAGCCGCTTCAGTCGGCGAAAGCCGAGGAAAGTCAATAAATAGCTGCGAAACTCGTCCTCACGAAGACCAGGCTCCCTGGTAAAACGGCTCTCGAAATGCCGCCGAAACGCCTCGCACATGTCGTCAGTGGCCCGAAGGGTGCGCTCTTCCGGGGTTTTGACTTCACGAATATAACGATC